AAGTTCATTAATCACAGAGAGCCATAACAGGCATAATAATAAAGAAAAAGTTTGAAATATTACAAAAATTACCAAAATGTGACACAGAAACACAAAGTGAGCATGCGCTGTTGAAAAAAATGTCACCTTGTTCAAAACAGAGTTGCTACAAACCTTCAATTTGTACCTGTGAATTGCAATAAAAGGAAGTGCAATAAAACGGTATGTCTATATAAGGCAAAAGAAAGAATCTTAAAAGCACCAAGAGACATACAGAGATCATCAATAAACCCACACACCTATGGCCGATTGATTTTTGACAAAGGTGCTAAGTCCATTCAATGGGGAGAAATGGTCTCTTCAATATATGATGCTGGGACCACTGGATTTCCATGGGTGAGAGTGAAGTTGGAACCCTGTGTCACACTATATACAAAAACCCCTCACAACTAATGACCTAAATATAAGAAGTAAACCCATAAAACTCTTAGAAGAACTCACAGGAGTAAATCCTCATGACCTTGGGTTTGGCAATGGGTTCTCAGATATGACACCAAAAGCCAAAGCAAACAACAGTGACAACAAAATCCCAAGAAAACAAATAAATTGTACTTCATCAAAATTTAAAACTTTAGTGTATGAAAGGAGATTAGCAAGGAGATGAATAACAACCTACCAAATGGGAGAACATATTTGCAAATCATACATCACATTATATCCATAATATATAAAGAATTGTTGTAAGTCAACAAGAAATAGAAAAAAACCCAACTGAATAATGGGCAAAGGACTGGAACAGACATTTCTCCAAAGTATGTATATGAATGGCCAGTAAGTCCATGAGAAGATGCTCAAAGTTGTTAGTCATTAGGGACACGCATATCAAAAATACAATGAGATGCCACTTCACACGTACTGAGATGGCTATAATTTAGGGAGGAATAGCAAATGTTGGTGAGAGTGCAGAGATATTGGAATCCTTGTACACTGTTGGTGAGAAGGCAAAACGGGGAAACTACTGTGGAAAACATTTTGGCTATTCCTCAAAAAGAGGAATATATGGCTTGGCGCCTGTGGCTCAAACGGCTAAGGCGCTGGCCACATACACCTGAGCTGGCAGGTTCGAATCCAGCCTGGGCCTGCCAAACAACAATGATGGCTGCAACCCAAAATAGCCAGGTGTTGTGGCGGGTGCCTGTAATCCCAGCTACTTGGGAGGTGGAGGCAGGAGACTCGCTTGAGCCCAGGAGTTGGAGGTTGCTGTGAGCTGTGACGCCACAGGACTCTACCCAAGGTGACAACTTAAGGCTTCGTTTTGTTTTTTTTTTTTAAAAGAGGAACATATATATATATATATATGAGAGAGAGAGAAGAGAATTACCATAGCATTGTTGTAATACCACTCCTTGGTGTATACCAAAAAATATTGAACACAGGAATTTAAACAGGTACCTATACAACCAATAACAATAATCATAAAGCAGCATTATTCACCATAGTCAAACAACCAAAATGTCCATCAAAAGACAAATGAATAAACGGTGGTATATGTATCTAATATATTATTCAGCCATAAACAAGAACTAAGTTCTAACACAAGCTACAACATGGATGAAGCTTGCCAATAAGGTTTTCAAGGGAAATGGTCTACAGGAAAAGTGGAATTATTCATCTGACATATATAGAATAGAAAAATTCATGGAAACAGTAGATTAGAACCTCCCAGAGGAAGGGAGGAGGGGAGAATGGGGAGTTGTTGAATGGCTATGATGTTTCTATTTGGGGTGTTAAATATGTTTTGGAAATAGTAGTAATGTTTATACTACATTGTGAATATAATTTTTTAATGCTACTGAAACATACACTTAAACATGGTTAATGTAGCAAATCTTACATTATATATATCTTACTACACACATAAAAAATAGCGTAAAACAAAAAATCCAAAAAACTATGTTATTACTAAGAGTCAGTTTCCCAAACAGAAGGGAAAGAAATGGCATTGAGTAAAACCAGAAGCAACTACCTGGTGAAGATACAGCTTAGTTATAATAATTTGGCTAGCCTTACTATAGTCCCATGATGTTCCATTTTATTTTGAAATATGAAAACGGGGAGTTGGGGAGAAGAGGAAATGTATAATTGGCTTACCCACATCTTTGACTAGAATGCCTAATCCTGTTCTTACATTTCATTCAGGCAAGGGATACAATGAAAAGTGAGAATCTGGAAAGCCCCAGAAGTAATGTTTGCCCTTGGTGCTAACTCTATTTTATCTTGTTGTGTTTTTTTTTTTGAGACAGAGCCTCAAGCTGTCCCCTGGGTAGAGTGCCATGGCATCATAGCTCACAGCAACCTCTAACTCCTGGGCTCAAGCGAGTCTCCTGCCTCTGCATCCCAAGTAGCTGGGACCACAGGTGTTCGCCACAACACCCAGCTATTTTTTGGTTGCAGCCATCATTGTTGTTTGGCGGGCTCGGGCTGGATTCGAACCTGCCACCTTAGGTCTATGTGGCTGTCGCCTTAGCCACTTGAGCCACAGGCGCCGAGCCTTATCTTGTTTTAATAGCACACCTCCTCCTCAAATTCAGGATACAAATATGATCACATCTCATTTGTTTGCAGTAATTCTTCAGCCCCTAATACCAGATTAGCTGGAAATTTTGTTGCTTCTATTTTGAGGATGAGCTCCTACTAAAGTGTCCCAGAATCAACCACCATTCAACCTAACATCATACAAAAGACCTAGATACTGAGATCAGTCCAGCTTGCAGCTTACTCAGTCCACACTGTCATTTCTCCTTGCTGCCACAGGGTAGTGATGTTGTACTGCAGATGTGCTTGATCAAGTGCAAGATGCCCATGGGCCCTGGACCTTTCCAAAATGAAACTGTCTTGTGATGTGGCTCAAAGGGAGGCCATATTCCCATCTCTGAAGACAGGGAAAACATCATCAAGAGACAGACCAACCCTAACACTACACCCTAAGATGGGGAGGAACCACTGTGAGTAAAAGCAAAAAGGTAAACAAACAAGTTTAAATCTAAGAGGGAAAGTCCCAGCAACCAACAGCTGCAGTTACCTTTGTTAGGAACCTTAGGAACAGGAGGAAAACCCTCCTTCTGCTCTATTGTTGGAATAAGGTCATCCTGAGACACCAGAAATCAAGGCATAGACTTTAGAGGGGGGCCTTGGGGAGGTCACAGTGGCAGGTGGGCTGCCAAATGAGGTGACACAAATCAGAAAGCACTGGAAAAGGAGATAATTAACCCAAACTTCACCAGCACTGCTCTCCCGCTACCCTTTAGGGGAGGTTCTCAATCTTAAAATATTTTCCTTTTTTTTTTCTTTTAAGAGACATGGTCTGGCTCTGTTGCCTAACCTGGAGTAGCCTGATCATAGCTCACTGCAGCCTGCAACTCCTGGGCTCAAGGGATTATCTCCCCTCAGCCTACTGAGTGGCTGGGACTTACCAGCAGGAACCACTGTGCCCAGGATCCATTTTCCTTTAATCTCTCCCCTTCCTTCCCTTCGCTTTCCTCCCTCCCTCCCTCCCTTCCTTCCTTCCTTCCCTTTCTTTTTCTTTTTTTGCAGTTTTTGGCCGGGGTTGGGTTTGAACCCACCACCTCCGGTATATGGGGCTGTCTGCACTACTCCTTTGAGCCACAGGCACCTCCTCACCTTGAATTTTTCTTTTGATTCGTGTACCCTCTGTTCAGTTTCCCCAAAGGTAACATCTCATAAACCTACAGCACAATATTCCAACAACTACACTGAGCTTGGTACAGCCAGATACAGAACATTTCCATGATCACAAGTATCCCCTGTGGTGGGCTGTTATAGCTACATCCAGTTCCCTCCCACACTGGACATAACTAATATGTTGATTTCTGTGACCCGTTCTTTGGGGAATGGAATCATGCAGTACATAACCTTTGGGGATTGGCTTTTTTCACATAACTTAACTCCTGTTAAGTTCCAAGCAGGCTGCCGGATGTATCAATAGCTCATTTGTTTTTTATTACTAAGTAGTAAGGTACACCACAGACCCTCGTTTGTTTTTTTTTAACCTGGACACCCTCCAAGGAGTGGGAGGGGCCGAAACAGGAGAGGCAGAATCAGGCGAGGCGAACCTCTGGGGCTCTCCACAAAGTGTGGGCGGGATCTGGATATGGGCGGAGCGGCTGCCGGAAGGCGGGGCCTGGGCGGGAGCTGGGCGGCTTGCAGAGGCGGGGCCTGGGTGCAGAAGAGGGCCGGAAAGGACTTGAACTTGGTGAGGCGGGGATAAGCCCGGGCAGCCTGGCTCCACGCCGGCACCTGGTCTCCGAGGGCACAGCCGCGGCGCTCCTGTCCGCCAGGCGACTGCGAGTGCTCAACCGGGCGCGGCCTGATTCCGGCGCGTACTCTGAGATCGCTCCTTGGGTAGGTGGGAATAGCTCCTACTGAGGGCGTGCGTTGGCTGGAGGTGAGTGACCCCGGAGTGGGGACCCAGGCTTGGGAGGGACAGTTCCCAGAACCTCGGGGCCAAAGAGGTCTCCGCGATTTTAACTTGCCAGCCGGACTGTGGACACGTGGGCCTGGTGATTCCTCGCTCACCACGCATGAGGGAGACCACTTTGAAAATATGATCTAATTCATTACTTCTCACTGAGCGCTAGGACATGCTGGGGCCACTTGTTCAGTGCTTATCAGGAATCGTCCCACTGAATCAGCCCTTGGCCCTACAAGTAGGTGCTGGTGTTATCGTCCCAGGAGCCCAAGGTCACAGTTTATAAAGGGGTGCGGTGGTTTAGGCCCATCGACCGTCCAGGGCTGCCCTGACCCCATGGCAGAGTCGCAGCGGTTTGGCTCCACCTTTGTCGAGGACTTTGTCGCAGTATGAAAAATATCAGCTTCTTTAACTTTTAATCTCTGACAATCCCGGCCAAACCAATACGTAAAAGTGTATATTGAATAATACTTCTAGCCCCGCTACTTATAGTTCTTTTTTAATAAAATGAAAGTAAACCAAGTGCCCAGAAATAGAGAAATGGGCACAAAAGGACATGCTGGCAATGGTGTCACTACACCTGGAAGGAAGTGTTTAGCTGTTAGAAGGCCCTGTATGGGACTTGTCCCCATGGAAAGAGGCACAGGAAATAAAGTGAAAACATAATAAAATACTTTATGGATGCTGATAAGATGCAAAATGTGTACATCAAAAATATCAAAGCCCAATTGATGTGATACAAAGAGTTCAGTAACCACATGGTCTTTTTTTCCTATAGGCCTATGTAAGCACACCGTTTCTAATAAAGGAGAAGAAATTACTGCTGTGGATGGGGGGCTTAGGGAGGTGCCTGGGGCTGAAGTGAACAGCCCTGAACTGTGTGGGTCAAGAGCCTGGTTGCTCAGTTCTTGGGCCTCAGTTTCTTATTTTGTACTACTAGAAGAATTGGAAATGGGGAGTCACAAACTCAAATGTCAGGTAAGGGATGTGATGTAAATTGAGCAAAGCAAAACAATAGGAAGTGGTCAGGTTTGGGGACACTGAAGGTGCATGCCCTGCATAGAGTCATTAAAATAAAAGCATTTGATCCGAACCAACATGTCTATGGCCCCTCACTTTGGGAGTTTCAGGATAAGATGCTCCCTGAGTCTGCAAAAACACTGGCAACCTTTTTAAAAAAGTAAAGCAGGTCACATTACCCGTGTCCTAGAGTGATCGGATCCTTGCCATGTTTCTGAGTGCATCTCTTACCACCCAGTTCTTTTTTGCTAAACTGGACTTCTCTTCCCCCCAGATCTTTGCAGGGCTGGTTCCATGTCACCATTCATTGTCCCTGCCCTGGATCACCTATCTAAAATAGCAAACATACCCCTGCCATTTTATCCACTCTAGTATTTTATTTGCTGATCACTATTACTTACCGTTTTTACCATTATGTACTAATATCTGGAATTCTGTGATTGTTTTCTTTGTCTGCTTGTTTATTTCCCACCACCACCCTGACAAGAGATGAAGTTCCTATCTTATCTTATTCACCACTGTAGCTTCAGCATCTAGTGCAGTACGTGTTCAGAAGGTAATTAATTCCTCCAACAAGCTGTAGACCTGGCTGAATGAACGAATGAGCATATTTGTTAGGAATTGTGCCTCACTCACTGCTAGTAATAGAGTCTATTCCAGTGACTTTCACAAAACTCAGGGTTTGATTTCTCGTGTGAAGAAATCTGGAGTTTGTCTAAAACCATTAGCCTTTCTGGAACCTCCCCTAAATCTGAGCTCCATATTCACCTTCTAGTCAATTTCACTTTGAACTTGACCTTTAACCCTCCTGGAACCCTGTTCTCAGTTGTACTTTGGATTCTTCCATTTTTGTTTGTTCATTTGTTTTGTTTTATTTCAGAACACTTGTTTTGAAGGTCAGTGCCAACTTTGGCCTAAGATCCCTACATCATTTGTGCTCATTAGCATCTGTCTTCCGTCCAGGTTCACAATAGACTTATTTACATTTATTTATTGTTTTGAGACAGGGTGTCACTCTGTTGAGTGCAGTGGCACAATCATAGGTCACTGTAACCTCAAACTCTTGAGTTCAAGCAATCCTTCTGCCTCAACCTCCCAAACAGTGGGGACTATAGGCATGCTCCACTATACTCGGCTGATTTTTAATTTTTTTTTTTTTTGTAGAGGCAGGTTCTTGCTGTGTTGCCCAGGCTGGTCTCAAACTCCTGTCCCCAAGTGGTCTTCCTGCCTCAACCTCCCAAAGTGCTCACAATAGACTTCAGAGGTAACCTGAGCAAGTGGACCAAGGCATGAGCTGCCCTGCTAAGTGATACTCAGGGAATCAAAAGAGAGGTCATCCTATCTTGCCTCACTGACCCGACTTCTGTTGCCCTGTTCTATTCTCAGGCTTCTGCGCACACTTATTATATACACACCATGACAGCCAAAGTTCACTTTATAAACTAAACCTCAAGGGAATGTCTGTCTACCAAGGCACTACAAAGCCTCCCAGCTGAGTCATTAACTCTTTTCTCTTGCTCTTCTGAGATGAGCCACACCAAGCGTTTCATGACTTGCCCTTTTGCCCCATGTGGTTAGTTACCATTGTACTTCTCAGCGCCAAAGGTGTTGATGTCAGCAGCTGGCTCTGGGAGAGTGGTTCCTGTACACTTGCCTTATCAGTGGGCTTTGAAGATAGAACCTCTGTACTAATGACCCTAGCGGAGTGTTTTTCAATCTTTTTTATCTCACTGCACACTTGAACCTAGTTAAATTTCTGTGGCAAACTTAAATTATGTTGATCCAAAAAAAAAAAAAAAGTGGCTCCGTGCCTATGGCTCAAATAGCTAAGGTGCCAGCCACATACACCTAAGGTAGCAGGTTCGAATCCAGCCTGGGCCCGCCAAACAACTATGATGACTGCAACCAAAAAAAAAAAAAAAAAATAGCCGGGCATTATGGTGGCTAGCATTTGATCGGAACCAACATGTCTATGGTCCCAGCTATTTGGGAGGCTGAGGCAAGGGACTTGCTTGAGCCCAGGAGTTGGAGGTTGCTGTGAGCTGTGATGCCACGGCACTCTACCCAGGGGGACAGCTTGAGGCTCTGTCTCAAATAATAATAATAATAATAACTGAACAAACTTTACACATTTTCACGGCATATCTAAGATTCTCTTGTATACCCCCAGCACCATATGAAAATCACTGCTCTAGGGAAAGCAGGGGACAGTGCAGGCATCCCTCCCCCTGGACTTAACAAGTGATGGAAAATGCCTAAAATCCAAACACCCCCCTCCTCAGGCAGGTGAACTCTTGTGTTTTAATGACATAATATTTTGTATTATGATTTACATTGGAACTTTTTGTTTCAGACAACACCACTGTTGCATGAAAAGGGCAAATTAAAACTGACAGACACACCAACAATGTAGAGGAAGGGACCTTTAACTGCTGTGAGAACTCAGGTGCCTCCAGGCACGAAACGCTGAGTTCCAGGGAACAAATTTTCCCCAAAATCTTTTATACTTAATTTTTCAACTCAATATCAGTTGCATAATTATAGTTTCAACAAGGAGTACAAAGAGTTAATGATTAGCTTTTTCTCAAGAGACCAGGGTGCTGCTATTTGTTACATAGCTTTTTCTTTTTCCCCAAGGTTATTTTAGCTCAGTGTAAGGTTTGTTCTTATCTTTGGGGGAGGAATTCTTCTGCAGCTGCCTGCTGCTTTCCCAAGATCATTAAGAAATATAACATTTATTTCTCCTTCCTCACCATCAATGAGCATAAACTTTGTTTTTCCTCACTAGCCAGCTTTAGGTTCACCATTGTGTTGCTGTTGTCAAAATAGAAACCCTCCAGTACTTTGATGAATGAATGTGACTGCTCCCAAATTCTGTGCTCTGATGTAGCAAGTTCATTACATAGGGCTTGAACACACTAAAGTACTTGGCCACAAAACGTGTACCTTAAGGGCTTATGTTTTAATAATTGCAAACTGATAGTCCATGATCCTCCCCACAGATTAAATGCCTCTGCAAATGTTACTGCATGAAAAAAACCAAAGTGAAAATATCTGGAGGTTGGTATTCCAGAATCACCTTGCCTCTCCAATAAAGCATCAGGAATCCCGGTTCCTTTTGTATTTCTGCTCCTCATCTTTATGGCCTCTCTGCCCAGGAAGACAGCATGGCTGACTATGCCCATCAGTCTTCCACACTCCAGTTAGGAAGAATGCCAGTGACAAGGGCCAAAATGGCACCCCACCCACATGCCCTGAGTCAACTCCTTAAGGATATTTTCTAAGAAGCACCACCCAGTGACTTCTGCTTACACTTCACTGGCCAGCCCTAACTGCAAGGGAGGCTGGGAAATGTAGTCTTTACCTGGGCACACTGACAGGCTGAATAAATTCAGTGTTCCTAAGGAGGCAGGGGATACTGGGTAGCCAAAGAGGTAGGTTCCTTGCTGTTCAGTCAATAATCAAGTGAATGGGAAAGGACTTTAACTCACCTTTGGGGTGTGAAGGTGTTTCGACTGACCAGAGCTGTCTGCTCTCTCTTGGCAGTGATAGCACCCTACTCTGTAAGTCCCAGGCCTGCCCCCCAATTTAGGTCTTCTGCCACAATGATGAATTCTCTTTTTCTGCCTACAGGGCACCCTCCTGCACCCCTCACTTTGGGGAAGTATTCTGCAGTCCCAGCCCTGCAGCAGCTCCCAGTCGTGGTGGGGATAAGCTCAGCTCTACATCTCTCTGTTCTTTTTGTTGTCCTGTAAAGACACACTGATGTGTTAAACTTGTCTTTTGGACACTAGTTTTTTTCCCCCGATTTTTTTTTTATTGTGGTAAAATACATCTAACATAACATTTACCATCTTCACGAGTTTTTAAGTATGCAGCTTAGTGGGATTAAGTACATTCAAAATGTTGCATGACCACCACCAGGCCTCACCATCCATCTCCATAACTCTTTTCATCTTGCTAAACAGAAACTCTGTATCCCGTAGACACTAACTTTCCGTCCCCTCTAAGCCGCTGGAGACCCCCATTCTACATTCTGCCTCTATGAATTTGTCTCCATACCTCACGTAAGTGGAACGCACAGTGTTTGTTTTTCTTCGTCTGGCTTGTTTCAGTGAGCGTGATGTCTTCAAGGTGGATCCAACGTTGTAGCATTAGTCAGAATTTCCTTTCTATTCCATTGGATGGATAGGCCACATTTTGCTTATCCATTCACCTATTGATGGACTTGGATTGCGTCCACATTTTAGCTATTGTGAATAATGGTGCTATGAACACAAATGGACAAATGGTTCTTTGAGACTCTGCTTTCAATTCTTTTGAGTTCATACTTAGAAGTGGAATTGATAGAGTGTATGGCAATTCTCCTTTTAATTTGTTGAGGAGCCTCTATACTGTTTTTTACAGTGGCTGCACTATTTTACATTTTCCCCAACTATGTATAAGGGCTCCAGTTTCTCCACATCCTCACCAACACTTGTTATTTTCCTTTTTGGAGAGAGAGAGAGTAACTATTCTAATGGCTGTGAGGTGGTATCAACTACTCATTGTAGTTTTGATTTGCATTTCCGTAGTGATTATTGATGTAATCATCTTTTCATGTGCTTGTTGGTTATTCTTCTATCTTCTTTGGAGGAATGTCTGTTCTGTTCTTTTGTCCTTTTTAAAATTGACTTGTTTGGTTTTGACGTTGAGTTTTATGTGAGCTGTTTTTTTGTTTGTTTGTTTTTGTTGTGGGGAGCAAGAACAGGTTTGTTAGACGTAGCTGATCTCTTCCAGAATGAAGTCTGTTATTTTGGAGATAGCTGCTGGGGGTTGAGGACATGGGCCTCCCTTGTGCCTTAAGGCCCTCTAGGGAGAACTGACGTTTTCCCAGAGCGCTATCATATGCCAGCCATGTACCTATAGGCCATCTCTCTTCATCTTCTGGGCTGTGCTGTGAGGAGGATGAGGCAGAGAGGTGAGGGGCTGTGTTGCAGGGCCCACAGCTATACATAGCAAAGTTGGAACTTCGACCAAGTCCATCTAATGTGGAAGTCTGCACTGGCTCACTCTGCCTGCCTCCCTGAAGGAACTTCTGAAACGTCTGGTTGGAAACCATGTTGAAGACAACTTCCTTGTTTGAGGAAAAGGCCCAACAACAGCTGGTACCATCCCCTCGTGTTCCTCAGCACAGCTGCTGTGTGACGGCTCACAACAAGCACCTGAGTCTGCTCAGCTCCATTTGTTATCTGAAGGGGAAAACTTCAGGGAGGCAGGAAGCTGAGCAACTCTTGCTTCCTACCATGGCTTTTCCCCAGGTCCTATTCTCTATGGCTGCCTTCACAAAAGGCTCTGAGTTCCCTCAAAGGAGAAAAATAAAGTGGTTTTGAGGGTGGCACCTGTGGTTCAAAGGAGTAGGATGCCGGCCCCATATGCCAGAGGTGGTGGGTTCAAACCCAGCCCCAGCCACTGTATGGTTTGTCCTCCAAAGCCTAAATCTCCGGAGGACTCTTTGCTTATCTTTTTTTTTTTTTTTTTTTTTTTTGAGACAGAGCCTCAAGCTATCCCCCTGGGTAGAGTGCCGTGGCATTACAGCTCACAGCAACCTCCAACTCCTGGGCTCAAGCGAGTCTCTTGCCTCCACCTCCCAAGTAGCTGGGACCACAGGCGCCCGCCACAACGCCCAGCTATTTTTTGGTTGCAGCCATCATTGTTGTTTGGCGGGTCCGGGCTGGGGATTTGAACCCGCCACCTTAGGTGTACGTGGCTGGCGCCTTAGCTGGTTGAGCTATAGGCGCCGAGCCCTCTTTGCTTATCTTGAGAGACCCTTTCTCCAGTGCATTTGTCCTCCAGGAAGCAATGGTGAAGCCTAGACGTGGTTCCTCCACCTCCCCAGGTTCCTTTTCTCTTCCAGGTTGTTGGGGACCTGGACAAAAGTGACTGCCACTGAAATACAGGTCAACCCATCAGAGAGGAAGAATCCATCTTACTACACCATGGCAGGTAATGAGTAATCATGGGGGACATAGACTTCTAATGAAAAATTGAACCTCTTGTTATAAAAAAATCCAGACAATATGGATGCGTATAAACCCATTTTTCTTATTATATGGATCACTGTTTGGAATTTCTCACTTGTTTTATTATTTCACCCCCTCCAGAATGTAAGTTCCTCAAAAGTGGGGCCTCTCTGTCTGGTTTTTGCTCTGCCTCCTGACCCTGGAATCACCCCTGGGACACAGATGCTCAAAAAGTAGTTGTTGATTAAATAAGGCTAGGAGGAACATTGGTTAGAAACCCGGTATCATTCTGTCTTTTCTCTTGTAACTGTTTATAATATGTACATGCACAGACATACACACACATACACGATTTTACAACTTCATTTTTTTTCACTCAGCGATATACCATGGAAATCCTTTCATTTTTCAAACTCTTGCGCTTAAGTGATTCTCTTGCCTCAGCCTCCCAGGTAGCTGGGACTATAGGTGCCTGCCACAATGCCCAGCTATTTTTTCTTCCAGTTGTTCAGTTGGCCCAGGCCAGGTTCGAACCTGCCACCCTCGGTATATGTGGCTGGCACTGTAACCACTGTGCTATGGGTGCCGAGCCTGCAGATTAGGATTTTTAACATTGGCATTACTGGTATTACAGGCCCAATAACCCTTTGTTATGGAGTCTGTCCTGTGCGCAGCAAGATGTTTAGCAGTGTCCCTGGCCTCTACCCCTTCAGCAGTTCTCAACCTGTGGGTCTCGACCCACAGGAACTATATTAAAGGGCTGCGGCATTTGGAAGATTGAGAACCACTGCCAGATGCTAGTAGCACTCCCCCCCACCAGTTGTGACAGCCAAAAGTGTCTCTGAGATTGAGTAATTTCCCCTGACAGGCAACACTGGCCCCCAGTTGAGAAACATTAATGCAGGTATTTCATCTGTATCCATCCTCCCATTAACCCTCCAAGGAGAGAGTTCCTTTATAACATAGGAGTCTGAGAAAGTAAAATAAAAATGTTAACTATTAAATAATTCATGAAATTCAATTTTTACACTCAGCTGAATGCTCTGAAACAGTTTGCTTCAACTTAGTGTGTGTATTTTCTCCTTAAGGTCCTAGGTTGAAAAATTTAAATCAAGTTTAACATCCTCTTAGATGTTACCAGGGTAAATTTCATTAAGCAAATCACCAACCAGCCTCCCAGAAGAAATCAGTACATAATCACCTTTTCCTTATTCTTCTTCTGAATGAGGAAAACCCCGCTTCCGAGGCTCCTAGTGTTGATGATACAGCCAGTACCTGTACTTTGTCATCAGCATCACCCCTGAAAGATGGGCGCCAAATAGCCCTTCCTTCCCCATGGGAACGAAGGTTTTGATTCTTCATGTTTTCAGTGCCAGTTTTTGATGAATGTGGAGGATGTGGAAATAGACTGGACTAGACTGAAAAATGCCCATAGCTGATGCCTGCTAGCTGATTCCAGCCCAGATGCCTGCGTAGCTGATTCCAACCCAGAATTAATCTGGGTTGCACAGATTAATTCTAGCAGCTTTCTATCTATTTATTTAGAAGACAGTCACACTTTGTTGCCTTCTGTAGAGTGCTGTAATATCATAACTCACAGCAACCTCAAAGTCTTGGGCTCAACTGATCCTCTTGCCTCAGCCTCCTAAGCAGCTGGGACTACAGGCACCTGTCACAATGCTTGGCTATTTTTTAGAAACGGGGTGTCACTCTTGCTCAGGCTGGTCTTGAACTCCTGAGCTCAAGCAAGCCACCCACCCTGGCCTCCCAGAGTGCTAGGATTATAGGCAGGAGCCACCATGCTTGGCTCTAGCACCTTTTTATTTTGATGTTAGGGTGCAGGCTTACACATTTTCATAGGGCATGCACAAATGCATTCAGACTTTTAAAGAATTTAGTGATGGTATTTATTTATTTACTTATTTATTTATTTTTGTTGTTGGGAATTCATTAAGTTTTTGATTAGCAATAATTGCGCCTCGGATAAACCTCATTGGCTATGATACTGCCACTGCGCAAAGCTGGGGGGAGTCATTAAGTGTATGAAGAACCAGGTTACATTGCTTGCCTTTGTTAGGTAAAGTCCCTCTTATAATTGTGTCCTGCCCCTAAAAGGTATGTTAAAGTGATGGTATTTTTAAGGAAAAATAATTTGGCCTACTGTGTTTTTGAGCACTAGCAAACCCAAGTAATGATGAACTATGATATAATTATATAACTAGATTTTTTAAAGGTCTATTGCTTTAAAAGTGCCATTCATTGGCATTTCGTTGCTTCAATTACCATAATACACTAAAACATTTAATTTTCATCTTAGTCTTCATTGAATTTTGACATGGAGAAGTTGCTTTTCAAAAGGAACTGTCTCCTACTGATTTAGGTAAGAAAGTGCTCATTGTCTACGCACACCAAGAACCCAAGTCTTTCAATGGAACCTTGAAGAACGTGGCGGTGGAGGAGCTGAGCAAGCAGGGCTGCACAGTCACTGTGTCTGATTTATATGCAATGGACTTTGAGCCAAGGGCCACAAGGAAAGACATCTCTGGTGAGTCATAAAGTAACTCTATTATTTTTTAACTTTCTTCTTTGTATTTTTAAATTAAAAACATGTTGACTTCTAATTTCAAAAGGGTAGCCAGAAGCAAGCTTGCACCATTACCCCCATCCTCACAGAAAGCCAGAAAAAAAATGTGGCACTGAGATTATCACCAGCAATATCCTAGAACTCAAATATAAGGATGAGGTAATTCTCAGGGCCCCTGAGAAAAGAAAAAGAAACTCCAAGCAGATGGTAAGAGAATTGGACTTTCATATCTGTAACACCCCTCTTCCCAATATGCCCAGCACTAAGCACATGGAAAATTTTCCCCCACTCCCGATTCATAGATTCTACACTGGAAAAAGTGAGATCCAGTTAGACAAATAGCTTCCCCATTATCTTGGTTTCCCTGGCAGGAGTCCTGACCCTACCTCATCCCATAGCAAGGACTGGGAGTGCCTGAAGGAAGAACCATTGTTTAGAACGAACAGTCAGAAACAAAGAGGGAAGGCAGGACTACCATGGAGACTGCTCTGTACTTCGGCCAAAAGAGATGCCAAATTAGAGTGGTTGTTCAGCAGTATCAGGAGGAGGGTCATTCTGTTGGTCCCTTGGGCATGAACCCCTGGCCATCCTTCCCACACTGCTGGGATATCTGCTTTGGGACTGCTCCATTTGAGACAGGCTGTGTTTATATCATTTACTAGGGCTGAGGCAAAGCTAGGCTTAAGGTGCTATGCAGTGTCAAAAAGGAGGCAGCAACCTAGACAGGGGAAGAAAAAAAAGTCATGGGTACATGCCAAAGAATCTCTAAGCAGACAAGTCTAATAAAAACCGAAACAAGCCCGACAGAGAAGATGGAGAAAAAAGTGACTAATCCTTTAATAGAAAGACATAGATATACATTTCACAAAAGCCATAGCATTTAGGGATCTGTGGCCTTCCCAAACACAAAGCAAAGGACCAGTGACTGACCCTAACAAGGTGGTAATATGAGCTTTCTGACCAAACTAGTAGTTTTAAGGAAACCCTTTGATTTCCAGGATAACACAGAAAAGCAATTCAGAAAATTTGTCAGAAATTTAACAAAGGTTGAAATCATAAAAAACAATAAACGAATCTTGGAACTGAGAAATACATTTAATGAACTGAAAAAATCATTAGAGGTTCTCAACAACAGAATAAATCAAAATCAATGAAATGGGTTTTGAAAAGATAAAAGATTCCAAGAAAAAAGAGAGAGAGAAGAAAATCATGCAGGCAAAAGGAAACAACAACTTAGCCCAGGGAACATACAAAGAATCACTGGAAACTATTCTGAACCATCTATATTAAAAAATTTTTACAAAGAGGTGGCCAACACACAGAGAATATTTTGTAAAATTTTGTAATGAATATTGTCTAAATAAGCATTTAGCTTCAATTTCCCATCTTCCCTATGTATGGAGACTTTGTGGGCAATCTTTGGGACACCCTGTTTATTAAAAGAATTAACCTATAGGAATTACAAATACTTTTTACCCAGTTGCTTGTTTTTAAAAAAAATTTGATATTAATTATTGTGAGTTTTTTCCATGCAAGATTTTGTTTACTATCTTGACTTTTGATCCATCTTTTTCTTCTATGATCTTTGGATTTTATGTCCTATTTCTATAAACTCTAAGATTATATTTTTAAAAAGTTCTATAGTTTCTTCTAGTATCTGAGTAGGTTTCACCTTTTTTTTTTGAAACAGAGGCTCAAGCTGTCGGCCTGGGTAGAGGGCCATGGTGTCACAGCTCATAGCAACCTCAAACTCCTGGGATTCTCTTGCCTCAGCCTCCTAGTAGTTGGGACTACAGGCGCCCACCACAACACCTAGCTATTTTTTGGTGGTAGTTGTCATTGTTTGGCCAGATTCAAACCCACCAGTTCTGGTGTATGTGGCTGGTACCTTAGCTGCTTGAGCTACAGGCGCCACCAGGTTTCACTTTTTAAATTTAAATACTTCTTCTATTTCAAATTTATTTCGGTGTATGATGTGAAGTATGGGTCTAGTTTTTTCCAAGTACCTATTCAGTTATTTCTTGATCATTTATTGCATGATTTAACCATTTGCCCCTGATTTAAAGTGCCACCTTCATTGTGATCTAAATTTCTACATGTTTGATTTTATTCTCTTCTTTCTGTTCTATTTTTTCTCCTTATCTATTCATGACCTATATCACATGGTTTTAATGATTTTGTCAAATCATCTAATATCTGATATCATTTCTCTTATTTTCTATTTTTATTTGATTTTTCCATAAAATCTTTTGAATTAGCTTTCCAAATTCAAAAAGAAACCTGGTGGTATTTTCGCTGAGGTCCCACTAAATTTACAAATGAAATTAGGAAGAATTGACCTTTTATGATGCTGATTCTTTCTCTCCAAGAGAATGTTGTGACTTTTCAGTTGTTCACATCTTTTATGATTTCATTCGGCTGTTTTCTTCATATGATCTTCCATGATTCCTCTTCACTTGTTGCTTCTTCACATGAAGGGGATGATTCTTTGAGTGTGTGTCTCACCACTGCTAGTGTTCTTCCTGTTTGTAATATTCTCCAGCTAATTCTCTAGGACTTTCAAAATATACAACATATAATCTGCCAACACTGATAGTTTTATCTCCTCTTTTCCTATATTTAATATCTGCAATCTCCTTCTGTTTGTAACTGTGTTAACTAGATCTCCACACAACTTTCAGTACTCACGTCAATAGCTTATGTCTCGGCTTTTTGTCTTTCTTCCCTTTTAATATGTATTCATCAGCTAACTTCTCTTAATTAACAGTAGAGCAAGGGCTAAAAAAAATAGAGAACACTGGAGTCGCTAGTTTTAAGTGCATAAAGTAACACAAGATTGAGGTTAAAAACTATTTTTAAATATAGGTGAAGTTAGGGTACAAAGTGCAATCCCTGTTCACATCCCCTCCAGTCCTCCACCACACCCAGGAGGTAAGTGAGCCTAACCTTTGGGCATGAACGTACACATCCACGTGGTGTTCTGAAACGGTAGATATAACAGAGCCCAAGGGGGTCCTGGGTCCTACATTATGTGGTCGTCAAAACCCCATGTGATTACTTCCCTGATACAATACAGTCTATTGCCTGCTATAATTACCCTTTCAGGTTTCCGAGTAAAGATTTTATGCATAGTCCATGTAAAGATTTTATACATAGAAACACACTCAATGTGTACCTTTTTTTGCAGTTTTTTGGCCAGGGCTGGGTTTGAACCCTCCACCTTCAGTATGTAGGGGCTGGTGCCCTACTCCTGGAGCCACAGGTGCTGCCCCTCAATGTATACTTTTTTTTTTTTTTTTTTGAGACAGAGCCTCAAGCTGTCACCCTGGGTAGAGTGCTGTGACATCACAGCTCACAGCAACCTCCAACTCCTGGGCTCAAGCGATTCTCCTGCCTCCATCTCCCTAGTAGCTGGGATTATAGGTGCTGGCCACAACGCCCAGCTATTTTTTGGTTGCAGCCAACATTGGTGTTTGGTGGGCCTGGGCTGGATTCGAACCCGCCAGCTCAGGTGTATGTGGCTGGCTCCTTAGCTGCTTGAGACACATGCGCCGAGCCAATGTGTACTTTTTGAATGAAAATCAAATACCAATGGGTTAAAAGAGGATGCAAAGAACACTCAAATGTTTTTAAATTACAACTTTTATTTATTTATCTATTTTTTGAGACAGTCTCAAGCTGTTACCCTGGATAGAGTGCCTTGGCATCATAGCTCACAACAACTTCCAACCTCCAACTCAGGGTCACACAATCCTCTTGCCTCAGTTTTTCTATTTTTGGTACAGACAGGGGTCTTGCTTTTGCTCAGGCTGATCTTGAACTCGTAAGCTCAAGCAGTCCACCTGCCTTGGCCTCCCAGAGTGCTAGAATTACAGGCATGAGCCACTACGCCCAGCCAAATTACGACTTTACTGAAAGACTGCTGGTCCAGTTCTCATTTTTGGCTTTTCTTGAAGTGTCTTCAGCTTTGCACCCTCCTCCCTAGACACACGGGTATGGCATAGTGGGCCACACCAGGGCCGCACGTGGACCTTGGGTCATCCCACCTCTGCTAATGTGGCATTGAACAAGCCATCTAGCTTTCCTAAGCTTTAGTTTCCCCTCTAATAGATTGGGAGCTACTCTGAGCTCACTGGTTGTTATGGCAATGAGAAAGGAGCACCTGCTAGGTAGGACACGCTCAATTAGTGGCCCTCCCAGGCTCTTTCTCTGGGCCTAGCTTGGCCCCAGCTGTGGCTCCTGATTGGGCTGAAGGAATGTCTTTGACTTGCTCTAAGGAGCCCGGGTACACAGGGCCAATAGGATGGCTGGGACATCTGAAAACAGGCACCTGAAAGTGACACGTTTGGCCTCTTGCTCCCCAGGTGCTCTCTCTAATCCCAGGCTCTTCAATTATGGGATGGAAGCCTGTGAAGCCTACAAGAAGAGGTCTCTGGCCAGCGATATCACTGAGGAGCAGAAAAAGGTTCAGGAAGCTGATCTAGTGATATTTCAGGTTCGTTTTCGCACTCATTCAAATAGTGAATCAGATTCATCCTATGTACAAACTCTTTTTGAATATTGAGGGTAGGGCTCCTCCTAAAAGTGGTATCAGTGTTGCACATTTGCACACTTATTCTGGAAGTGTTATAACCCAGTTAAAACACTAATTCAGCAATTAACCTAGTTGGATCTGGAGATCCATGTATCATTCAGTATCGCTCACTCAGAATCCTGATCCCATGTAAATAGGAATGAAGGATTTATCTGCTAGCCCAGTGGTCCAATAAATGTCTGGATCCTGCTGGACCTGTTGGTTCTATTCCCCTCCGATCCCCATGCCTGGACATGCTGAGGCCGCCTGGAAACCAGATTTCCTGGTGTTTATCAGAGTCATTCAGGTCCATTGTGATTTCTGCCTTAAATATCTTGATTATTAAGAGGAAAATTATTGCTTCCCATCCTCTCACTGGTTGCTTCACCTCCCTGAACTCCTGCCACTTTCCCCATGTTTGTTTACAAAGAGAGAACCACCCCATGAAACAGCCTCTAGGAACACTGATTCATTAAGGCCACTTCCTGTCACCCTGAGGGGGAAGTAAGGTAAGCCTGTAAACATTTGCACTTTGAGGGACTGGTTAGGTTGACAGAAATCCAAGGTGAACTAAGAAGGAAGGGGCATTTACCATAAGGGCTCTCTGGCCATTCGGATCTCCTGGACCCCAAGGACAGAGCTATGGCCCCAAGGCAGGAGCATGTCTGCTGTCTTCCTCAGGTTCCCATCTGCTTTCCCTGCACCTTAGTTCTCTCTCTACTGCCTGCCAGCCTCTGGATTCCCTGGATCCAGAATTTCTAAGCAAGGGATCTGATGAGTCCACATTGCCTCTATTCCCAACCCTGCTTGAGGGCAAGGAGTGGGTGGAAGAAGACCCTCGTGTGTGTGCAAGGTGGAAGTTGTCACAGATCCCAAATCCTTCACAAAAGCCACCTGTGTGTGCCGGAGGAGAGATGCTTTACCCTTGCCCAGGCTTGCTTCTGTCCACCCCTTCCCAACCCCAGCCCTCTCTTTACTGGGTTCCCTTGAGCTGCTAATCTGGCCCAAGTGTAGGCTGTCCTTTCATCCCAGCACAAATGGGTGGATCTAGTGTCTTAGACCTAGATGACTGTGAATTCATCATGCACACAGTAATAGTCATGCCTGGACGATAGGCCTGTGTCCTGAGCCACAAGGTCCGAGCAGAGCTGTGCTCAGCTCTGTCCCCCTGGAGTTGGTCGACCACGCAGGGCCCACCTCTCTGTCCCTTCTTTGCTCTATTCCGTAACTGGGTGGCTGGGGTAAGCTGACCCTTGGCCTTTTTGTAATGGTCTTTTGTCCCACCTCATTTCATGTCTCTTCTCCCCCAAGATTCCCACTTTTCCTGATACTTTGTACAGAGATTCTGCATTATAAGGTGTTTTGGGTTTTTTTTTCATTCAACACTAGTAACAATTTCATTTATTCCTACTATTACTATTATCACAGACCACCACACACTGAGCATTTATGCTCTGGGCATTCTGTTCTAGGCACTGTATTGTGTCCTTGAATCCTCACCTCAGTGCTGTAAGCTAGGAACTGTTAATATCCCTACTTAACAAATCAGGAAAAGGAGACACAGAGAGGTCAAGTAACTTGCCAGCATCACACAGCAGTAGGTGGTAGAGCTTGGATTTCATTGCCAAGTCTTGAGTTTGATTTTATATTGAAGCACCTGAAACAGGGGCTTCTGCTTTTGGTAACTGGTGATTGCCTGTGTTTATTTCTCCTCCGAAATGGTATCACTGGATATGTGTTAGGGTTTCTGTGGGACCCAGAGTAGATTTAGGGAGCCTTCGCTGCTGATGTGTGAATCTGAGCAGAAGACTTTGATTTGTGTCACAATCCACAGCTGTTCAGCACCTAACTCAGTCTGACTCCCAGATAGTAACTGTTTACCCCAGTTCACCCTGGGGGTGGGAAGGGCACACTCTTTCCCATATCTTCCCTCTTAGTCAGGTCAGTCACAGAGACTGGCTCCACGGTCAGTGTCCCGCAGAGCTCCTCACCCCTCCTGCCTGGGAACCAGCCTCAGGGGCTGGTGTGTGGGATGTAGACCTATCCCAGCAGTGACCCAGACCATTACCAATTCCATCCACCCCACTTTCCTCACTGCACCCCTCAGAGTTAAGCGTGTGGGTTGCCCTCACCCTACTCGGCCCAGCTGCCTGGGAAGAAGATGGCGGGATTCGTTCTGAATCAGCAGCTCGGCTAAAATATGAGGCCCCAGGCCAGCTGCACATGGGTTTCCCCTGGTGTCCTCCGCAGTTCCCGCTGTACTGGTTCAGTGTCCCGGCAGTGCTGAAAGGCTGGATGGACAGGGTGCTCTGCCAAGGCTTCGCCTTCGACATCCCCGGGTTCTATGATTCTGGTTTTCTCAAGGTGAGTGCTCTGGAATCCGGACACTGCAGACTGTTGGAGCAGGGGAGCTGGGGGTAGTTGGTCAAGCTGAATTTCTACCTTCCTTTTCTTGTTTTAAGGCAAATATTGATGGAGCACCGGCCCCGTGCAATGCACTGTGTGCTGCTCTTGTATGAGCAAAGCATCATTTCTGAAGTCGTGGAGCTTTTTGTCTAGTGAGGGCCACAGACACATGGCATTTAACTACACATGTGGCAAAGAGGGGCTGGGCAGGGAGTCTGGCAAGGGCAGAACTGGGCAACTTGACATGGGCCACACAGTAACCACCCCCAGTTCCAGAGAGGGCATCTCCTCCGTGGCAGAAGCCAGCTTGGCCTGGCACAAGTTCACTCCCTGAGCTTCCCATGCTTCCTGGTGAGATGAGATAACAGGACACCTTCAGTGGGGGGTGAGGGGTGTGTGGAGACTGACAGAAGCACAATGCACTGTGGCTATGAACTTCTGGCAAAAAGAAGTGATTTTTTGAATTCTAAAAGCCTCAGAAAATGTATGCATGTAAGGAGAACGGACTGAGGAACCAGATCTGTGTAGGACCACAAGTGATGCAACTGTTTACTGAATGGCCCCATGTGCTGGGCACTGCCAGTCTCCTCCCCAATCTTGTCCCTTTCATGCACCGGTCATGGTCACTGCAAACTGGTTTGGGATAGAAACCTGGGCATGGTACAGCTTTTACATTCCTTTCATCCATTGGTTCTGACTGTTCCATGGCGCCCTGCTGTTGGGGTATAGTTGTCAGCTGTGGAAGGGCTCCCTAGATTTGCTCATCCCCAGAGGACCCTGACCTCACATTTTCCCTGAAAAGGAAATGCTATTGTGATTCCAGCAAGAAGGCCTTAGCGTTTTCTTCCTCTTCAGGTGCCATACAAATGCATTTCCTTTCTCTCCTGCAGGGTAAATTAGCCCTCCTCTCATTAACCACAGGAGGCACGGCTGAGATGTACTCGAAGACAGGAGTCAGTGGGGATTTTCGATACTTCCTGTGGCCACTCCAGGTAGACAAGCTGCACGCACACATATGTGCACACACACACAGCCCTCAGCTCCCTGGGGAGCAAGATGAGATGTGGGATAAGCCTGATCTTCCACTCCATTTTGACTCCTCTAGATATAAAAAATATAACATTGTGCCCTTTATAATTTTTCACTTGGCAGCATGAAAAAAGTTGGCTAATAGAGAAAACACATGTCGTAATTATAGCCTTTGATACTGTTTGGGCAGAAGCTAAGCCAAACCTGCTTAGCGGGTACCTGCTTTGTGGTAAACAGAGCTTCCCCAGGTGCCCTGTGAGTGTCACAGGCCCCACAGTGTGTGTGAAGAGCTCTCAACATGGCTCTGGCAATGCTAGGTGAAAGCAACACCACCCTGAGACTTTGGCAAGAGGCACCCCAGGTTCTGCATTCTGGATGGCCACACCCTGGGCTCCACGGGCTGCATGGATCCCCTCATGGCCATGTTGCCTGGGCCCAAGGGGTGGCTGTCCACCAAGGGGTAGGCGGTGGATAGAGCAGTTCAGTCAGTCTGGCCCAAAGCACCCTGATAATGGGCAGAGCTGGAGATGTGGAGAGCAGAGACCCTGAAGAGACCCGGAAGCCTAAAGTACAACTGTTCTTGTAGGTTGTTTTGAGGGGATGTTTGTTGAAGCAGGAGGAGAACTCAAATTTGAGGGGTAGTGAGCTTGCTTTGAAAATGCAAGCATCATCCCTTTTCTGTGAACTCTCTCCAGGTTCATGAGCCCTGACTATGTGCCTATTGGGACATTGGCACTTAAAATTTTATATTTGTCAGCACTCTTTATATATCAAAGAAGTTAATCCCTGTGTTTTTTCCAAACATTAACATTTTTCTTCATATAGGTAGTGCACATTTATTTTTATGTTCATCCTTTGTTGTTTGCTGTTCTAAATGGGATGTATCTTTGATTGTAGCTTCTAAAAGTTATTTTGGTTTATGAAGGCTGTTGATCTCTGAATATTTTTTTTTTTTAGCCAAACTATTTTCTGTTTTCTTCTACTGCTCATGATTATGATATGTTAGTTGGTTTCCAGGAATAAAGTTATGTTGTCTGAGAACAAAAATGTAAAGAGTGGTGTGTGGGCCTGTTCTCGATGGGGGAGGCCTGGTATAGGTGCAGGTTTTAAAGGAAGTAATGGAGAGGGCTGAGCATGATATTTTCTATAAAAGAGCAATCTGCTTTGAAAGGAGAAAATATGTGATTCCAATTAGTGATACTTACTGGATGATGTACAAGCCTTATTGATCATGTGCAATCCCTTCTCCGCAGGCCAACTGGCCTCTTACAGGTCATTAGCCAAGCTTAAATTCTTCTTGCTTTAAAAATCTTTATATTTTTTCAGTTTGCAAAAATATATATCACATCAAAAAATGAGACAATATTAAATATAAAAAGAGAAAATCAATCCCTTAATCCTTCCACCTCAGAAATAATCACTTCTAACAACAGTTGATTTATTTTCTTACACCCCATATATATTCTTTTTTTTTTTTAGACAGAGTCTTACTATGTCAACCTCGGTAGAGTGCTATGGCATCACAACTCACAGCAACCTCAAACTCTTGGGCTTAAGTGATTCTCTTGCCTCAGCGTCCTGAGTAGCTGGGACTATACGTGCCCACCACAACGCCCAGCTATTTTTTTGTTGCCCTTGTCATTGTTTAGCTGGCCTGAGCTGGGTTTGAACTCGCCCGCCTTGGTGCATGTGGCCACCACCCTACCCACTGTGCTACAGGTGCCGAACCCCCATATATATTCTTAAATACATAGCTTATTGTGTTTTTTATTCTTTTACATAAATGGTATGCCATAAAAACTGCTTAAAATTTGTTGCTGTTTTCATTTGACAAATATCATTTCATTTCATTTGAACAACCTTCCATGGTGGCACATTACAGGTAGAATAATCTAGAGTAATCCATAGTATGAATGTACCATAATTTGTCTAATCAGTCAAAATTGTGATGTTTGGTGTCTGATCAGTAACAAAGATTGCAGGTTAATCTCTATTATAAGAATAAGAATTCGGCAGTTGGACACTGTGGCACATGCCTGTAGTCCCAGCTACTCAGGAAGCCAAGGGAAGAGTCTTTCTTGAGCCCAGGAGTTCAAGTCCAACCTGGGCAACACAGTGAGACCCATCTCTTAAAAAATAAATAGAATTTGGAAATTCCAATTGCCCCATATCCTAAGGTCATAGGGAAGTTCAGTTTTCAGATACTTTATAGCACTAAGGTTGTTTTATAATTTTTTGGAGGTTTGTTTCCTACCACTTCCCCCCTTTAACCATCTAACCAAATGGTATGTAGAAGATGTAGGTTCTAATCAGTTCTTTCCTTTCCTGTGGCTTTAGCATGGTACTCTGCACTTCTGTGGATTTGAAGTCCTTGCTGCTCAGATCAGTTTTGCTCCTGAAATTGCATCAGAAGAAGAAAGAAAAGGGATGGTGGCTGCGTGGGCCCAGAGGCTGAAGAACATCTGGAAGGAAGAGCCCATCTCTTGCACGCCTCCCTGGTACTTCGGGCAGTAACTGTGTACTGAGTGCACATCCTGTGAGCAACACGCTAAGGGACCGAAGCATGTGCAAGGAGAAAAGGATGTCATGAAATAAATTACAATAAAGCAAACTGGGAACATTTAATGAAGAGCATTAGTGTCTTGAGAGTTTTATGTAGCCAGATCTAATATTTTAATCATCAGCTTTTTATACTGAATTCTATTCAGACTATCACTAATCGCCCAGGTTTTCTTTGCTTTAATATTTATGTAATACCTTTCCATATTCCTATGCTCAAGCCTCACAGATAATTTTATTTTCAGATAGTTCTAACATGCTAGTCCAAGATCCCACCTTCTCTTACCTGGTTTATTGCAAGAACCTCCTAAATAATCATCTCTCATCTACTTTTGCCCCTTACAGCTAAGAATTTTCTGAAAAATTCTTAGCATCAACTTTAAGCACTCACATATGTGTACCACACCATGACCCATAGATATGTGGGTCATTATGAAAGTTTTGAGATACATAAAAATTGAGAAACACAAAGTCTGTGTACACTGAAACAAATGAAGCCTTCCCAGCAAACTGATAAGCTGAGCAAGCAAAAACTTGCACAGGCGAATCAAAGTTGCTGCCAACCGTGTTTCTTGGAAGTGAAAGAATGGACTTTTACACAGTCTGTCTTAAAACTTTTGTAGTGACCCATGATATATGCACACACACACACCATACACATTCATACACACACACATCAGCTCACATTACTCTTGAGGCTTATTAATTTCTCAAAGTTTTTTTTCTCATGGCTCCGAGGTAATGGGAATGCCTAGAACCCAGGAGCTGGTCTGTGAGGTGGCCCTGCCTCCTCTTTGGGCTCTTTTGGCTCCTCCTCTCTGAGGTGGTGCCAGTGGCACCTGACTTCTGTCACTCCTCCCAGTGCCCCACACTGTCCTGCTGCAGGCCTCAGCTCATGGCACCCTTCAGGCAGGAGTGCCATTTTGTTACTGCCTGGTCCTTTGCACACTTCCCTCTAAGCCGCTTGATTGAAGAAGCCTCCCCTAGCCCTCAGATTAATTTGGAGTCGCTGCCAAGCACTCTATTTCTCCTCATTTAAAAAACAAACTCTGTGTGGTTCAGCACCCGTAGTTCAGTGGTTAGGCTGGCCACATACACCAGAGCTGGCAGGTTTGAACCTGCCTGGCCTGCCAAACAACAATGACCACAATTACAAAAAAAAAAAAAAAAAAGCCAGGCGTTGTAACGGGCACCTCTAGTCCCAGCTACTCGGGAAGCTGAGGCAAGAGAATTGCTTAAACCCAAGAGTTTGAGGTTATTGTGTGCTGTGACACCACAGCACTCTACCAAGGGTGACATAGTGAGACTCCATCTCAAAAAACAAACAAACAAAAAAATCTGTGAATGAGGCAGGAGGATCTCTTGAGCCCAGGGGTTGGGGGTTGTAGTGCACTATGATCCCACCTATGAATGGCCACGGTTCCCCAGGCTGGGCAACAGCGAGAGCCTGTCTCAAAAAATATGTATCTCTGTGGAACTCTATACAAGAAATACATGAGGATGTTCGTAATGTAGATGGCTTACTTGTGGTGTGACCATGTTCATTATAATCTCAAAGGAGATAAAAAAGCCTTGTATAAAAAGCAAAAACAGCAACAAAAATCCATCTTTTCTGAGCATTCCAGTAACTTTTTGTGTGTACGTACTTAGCTGTACTATAAGTAGTTGGTTTGTATGAGATGATTAAAAAGGTTTCTTTTTATTCCTTTTTTTTGACTATGAAGTTTTTTATTTTTTTGGCCTGTTTGATGTATGTGTGAAACAATGTTGTCCAACAATAAACAGGAATTTAATTTTGCCGAGTTGTTCTAAAAAAAAAAGGAAATAAAGAGGAAGGAAGGAAAGAAGGAAGGAAGGAACTGCAGCCATGTCTGTAGTTATAACTTGGTTATACAAAGTGAGACCCTCCCAGAGCCTCCTTTGGGTGGAAGTCGGTAAAAAAAGAAAGAGACTATTGCTCAATATAGGAAAGTACCAGAAATTTTGGAGAAGTTCCCAGCAGCTTAAGCGTGCGAATGCTGCCTCACGACCTGAGGACAGCAAATAGGCACCAGCTTTGAGAGGGAGGAAATCAGCTCCAAAAGATGGTGACAAGATGGAGATGTACAAAAAAGCCAGTACATGAGCAGTTCAGGGGTGGGGACAGTGTGGGAACAGTAACAGTTGCTCTGCCCAGGCAACTCCATTCACAGAAAGAGATTCCAGGAAGTCCAGAGAAAGGGAAAGCAATTTTGCAAATTAAATGTTTTGGTTTTTTAGCAAATCTGGTTATAATAGTGAGAAGCAATAGCTAAAATACACCAAATGCTTAATATGTACCAGGGCCTGATAAAAATTCCTTACATGCATTACTAGGTTATTCAATCGTCCTAATATTCCTATGGGCAAGAACCGTTGCTATCTCCACTCTACAGAAGAAACTGAGGCAAAGGTAAAACACTTGCTGATGGCCATTCCAAAAAAGTGTTCCAAAATTGCTTTGAAGGGTGGACTAGGCACAGTGCATAGCTTCCTTGAAGGTGACTGCAGTGATATTCAACAATGAGGTATGTAGCACTTTCTCTAGGATTAGTTCTCAAACTTAATTGTCCAACCTTATAGAAAAAAGTAAATATCAATTCTCTCTGGAGAAAAATGCTGTCTCATGCCTGTCAGAATTTCCCCTGAGGCCTGGCGTGGATGTGGAGAGAAGGGAACACTTTTACACTGCTGGTTGGACTGCAAACTAATACAACCTTTTTGGAAAGAAGTATGGAGAACCCTCAAAGAACTCAAGCTAGACCTCCCATTTGATCCTACAATCCCATTACTTGGCATCTACCCAGAAGGAAAAAAAATCCTTTTATCATAAGGACACTTGCATTAGACTGTTTATTGCAGCTCAATTTGTTTATTGCAGCTCAATCACCAAAATGTGGAAACAGCCTAAATGCCCACCAACCCAGGAATGGATTAACAAGCTGTGGTATATGTACACTATGGAATACTATTCAGCCATTAAAAAAAATGGAGCTTTACAGCCTTTGTATCAACCTGGATGGAAGTAGAACACATTATTCTTAGTAAAGCATAACAAGAATGGAGAAGCATGAATCCTATGCACTCAATTTTGATGTGAGGACAGTTAATGACATGGTAGGGGTGGGGGAAGGGGAGAACAGAGAGAGAAAGGAGGGAGGGGTAGGGAAAAGGGGAAAGGAAGAGCAAAGAGAGAGAAAGGGGGGGGGGAAGAATTTCCCCTGAGCAAGATCGGCCTAACATATACTCTTCAAAATTACCAGAAACATGAGGGAATAAAACAGTAAAACTGAAAATAAACAACATTAAGAAATATATTCACTTATCCATGAGCTTCAAATATATGCATTATAAGATATGCAACATGAAATAACCATGAATAAAGTGTTTAAAGAAATAAAGACATTCAAAAGTGACCAGGGAAAAATACTGTAATAGAATTCTAGTATTAATATATATAAACATTGAAATTAAAGACTCAGTAGGTTAAACTGTAGATTAGACAGATGAGGAGAGAACTAATGCGATGAAAGGGAGATCTGAACACATAAGGAATGAAATGAAAAGGATGAAAGTCAGGTTAGGAGGCATGGAGAATAGAGCAAAAAGACCTATTATATATATCTATTTTTCCCAATTGTTTTTTTTTTATTGTTGGGGATTCATTGAGGGTATAAGAAACCAGGTTATGCTGATTGCATTTGTTAGGTAAAGTCACACTTACAATTGTGTCTTGCCCCCAAAAGGTATGACACACACCAAGACCCGACCCCTCTCCCTCCGTCCCTCTCTCTCTCTGCTCTTTCTTTCCCCCACTCCTCCCTCCTTCTTTCTCTCTCCCTTCTCCCCTTTCTTCACCCCCACTCCAACCATGTCATTAATTGTCATTAATTGTCCCCATATCAAAATTGAGTACATAGGATTCATGTTTCTCTATTCTTGTAATGTTTTAGTAAGAATAATGTGTTCCACTTCCATCCAGGTTAAGACAAAGGCTGTAAAGTCTCCATTTTTTTAATGGCTGAATAGTATTCCATAGTGTACATATACCACAGCTTGTTAATCCATTCCTGGGTTGGTGGGCATTTAGGCTGTTTCCACATTTTGGCAATTGTAAATTGAGCTGCAATAAACAGTCTAATGCAAGTGTCCTTATGATAAAAGGATTTTTTTTTCCTTTTGAGTAGAGGATGCCCAGTAATGGGATTGTAGGATCAAATGGGAAGTCTAGCTTGAGTTCTTTGAGGGTTCTCCATACTTCTTTCCAAAAAGGTTGTATTAGTTTGCAGTCCAACCAGCAGTGTAAAAGTGTTCCCTTCTCTCCACAACCAGGCCAGTATCTTTAGTTTTGAGATTTTGTGATGTGGGCCATTCTCGCTGGAGTTAGATGGTATTTCCAGATGGTTTTGATTTGCATTTTCTAATAATTAGGGATGATGAGCATTTTTTCATATGATTGTTAGCCATTCGTCTGTCTTCTTTAGAGAAGGTTCTATTCATCTCTGTTACCCAGTGATCTAACAGATTGTTGGCTTTTTTTATATTGATTAATTTGAGTTCTCTAGTTGAGATCCTAGTTATCAAGCTTTCGTCTGATTCAAAACATGCAAATATCCTTTCCCATTGTGTAGGTTGTGTATTTGCTTTGGTTGTTGTCTCCTTAGCTGTACAGAAGCTTTTCAGTTTCATTAAGTCTCATTTATTTATTTTTGTTGTTGTTGCAATTGCCATGGCAGTCTTCTTCATGAAGTCTTTCCCCAGGCCGATATCTTCCATTGTTTTTTCTATGCTTTCTTTAAGGATTTTTATTGTTTCATGCTTTAAATTTAAGTCCTTTATCCATCTCGAATAAATTTTTGTGAGTGGAGAAAGGTGTGAGTCCAGTTTCAGTCTTTTACATGTGGATATCCAGTTCTCCCAGCACCATTTATTGAATAAAGAGTCTTTCCCCCAAGGTATGTTCTTGTTTGGTTTATCAAAGATTAGGTGGTTGTAAGATGTTAGTTTCATTTCCTGGTTTTCAAGTCAATTCCAAATGTCTCTGTCTCTATTTT